GATGAAAAAGATGTGGTGTTTTTATACAATGGAGTACTACTCAGCTATAAAGAATGATAAACCCAAAGCCTTCATATATAAGTAGATGCTACTTGAAGACATACTCATAGTGAAATAAAACAGACACACAGGTGCAAATTTCATAGTTTTTCTAGTGTAAGAACTCAAAAGAAGAAATAAAAAATTGAAAGGTATAACACAGTTAAATGGAAAGTGAGAACTTAAGGATTAAACAATGAAGAGAGAGAAGGGAGAAAAGTTGGGAAATATGGCGGGGGTGAAACCATACATTTATATAAAGAAGATAGTTAAGGCAATGGTCCTAAGAATCTCCGTGTGGTTTTTGAAAATAGCAGTCAATGGGTAGAATTTTCACCCTGATTAACTCTATATGCTGATATCTGTGAACTAAACAATTACACTGAGGATAACAATGTGTAATACTAAAGCCATGCTTGAAATATTTATCACTTTGGTCTTCTATATGTGTACTGCTTCAAATATCATATCAATTATTGCTATACTCTTTTTAAAAAAATAAATGTCCGTAAAAAAAAGAAAAGGTAATAAAAGAAAATAAGAGACAAGAAAAATAATGTCATAAGATTGTCCTGCTACAATGTTGTATATGGTTTGATTTAGAAATTTCTGTGTAAAAATGTGTAATTGGTTTTTTTTCGCATTCTATAGAGATTTAAATTTTAGAATAGCCATGGTTGTTGGAAAATAGCAGTTCCATGTTATGTCTAAGACATTTGATATTCAGATAGGTAGTGATATTAAGCTCAACTGTCTCTGTTACAGTTGATAGCATCATTAAGTTTCTCTTCTGGATGTTTAACAACTGAAGTTTGCAGGCCAAAAATTAGAGAAATAGAGGGGCTACAAGAATAGCCAACATTGTGGCCCCACCCTTTCAAGGTCAGTGAGGATGCAGGACATAAGAGAACCTCTGCTGTGACATCCTGTAACTCAGTGTGTCCCAAATTTTCTGATCAAGGAGATTATGGGGCCACAGAGGAAAGTGATTGATGATGAAGAGTGTGCCTAAGGAGAGTCAGCTAGAGAGAAAAAAATTCTCTCAGGCTTTCACAAAGAGCAAATTGGTCAAGCAATGGCTGTGACTTATCCAGAGTCACTGACAAAAGATCTATAAGGTTTTACATGTGGTTCCAGGGTTCCAAATCCTGAGGGGATTTGACTGACCTTGTCAGATGCAAAAGTTACATTTTTAGTTATATAGGTCTTGCTTTAACTTGGTCTTAACCATCCAGCGGAAAGTGTAACCACGAGGTATAAAAGTAGAGCCATACTAATATGCTAAGCTGTAAAAGGCTAAAGTCAACAACTTCAGACAATTACCCGTTCTGCTGATAACCCACTATTATTATGGACTATTGGACTATATTGGGTAATTTTTCTGAATTCAAGTACCTACAGTCTTTAGACTGGCTTCAAGTATGTAAAGGCCATTTAAAGACTTCTCCAAATAAGCTTCTTTAACTGCAGTGGAACACCCATCTCTGACAAAAGAAAACAAAAACTAGGGATATAAACAAAGGACTGTTTTGTAGTGAAAAAAATCTGTATGCATATACAAGATAGGATATTCTGCTACTTTCTCTCAGTCCAGTGAGAAGAAAGGTTTGTACTAATATTGTTTAGACAAGATATCATGTCTACATCTTGTCCTCTGAATAACTACTATGAAGACAACAATGTGTAACGTATTAATTATTGTAACTGTCATACTAACCTGTTTTGAAACTGTTTCATTGCTGTTTTATCTTTTTTCTCATTAAAACGAATAAAGGATAAAAATAATATTTTTTAAATCTATTATGCTTAAATGCATTTTAGTCAATTGCAAACAAGATCTCTAGCTGTGCATACAGGCACATGCTGGTAATCCCAGCAGTGGGGAAACTGAGGCAGAAGAATAATGAGTCTAAGGCCAGCCTGAGCTATGTAGCACAACCCTATGTCAAAAGAACAAAAAAAAAAAATAGGATTTTTATTGCATTTTAAAACCAGACTGGATTGATATACTCTTAAATATTCATTGGTAGCTGAATCTTCACCTTCTACCTGATTTATACTGATCCTTACCACACAATATTCATGTGTAATAGAGAGATTGATTTCTGGAACTGCTCATAGGATTTCTGACGCTTAGAATTTTTAGGGCAGGACAGTAAGCTGGAGGTTCTGGCAGGCGCTAATATCCAGTCTGAAGGCAGAAATCCCCTTTCCCTGGGCCTCTCACTGTCCTTTCTGTCTAAGGCTATCCTGATTGGATGAAGCCCTCCCCCAACACCTGGGAAGGCTACTCTGCTTCACTCAGGCAGTTAACTTAAGTATCAAGCACATTTGAAAAAAAAAATCTTTATCTCCACAGCAGCATCAAGACTTGCATTTGACCAAATCAATGGACTTCATGTTGGCTCCTGTTGACACATTGAGTTAATCACCATGGAAGTATTTGTTGCTTTTTCACTTCTATGATAGCATATTCTATGCTTTTCTCTATACATGTTTATTTCCTTTGTTCCTAAACTCACTCATCAATCTGTATCATTTTTTTCCCTGAAATTATGTTGTTTCTTTCTCAGTAAATTATTCCATGCTTCATATCTGCAAACTGCCAGATTCTTGAATAATATATTCATATGAGGACTGTTTTTTTCTCTATATTGATTTCATCACATTTGATGGTCTTTTGAATCACTATGAGTTTAGGATGTATTGCCTTACAGCCACCAATGCCAAGTTCGCTATGGAAAAAATCAGCAACCACTAGCAGGTGTCGATGATTCTGGCTAGATCAGGTGGTGAAATAGAGCAGCTGTAGAATGTCTGGGTCATGGTGACATCACAGGATGACACCACAGTGATTTGATTCCACCGGTTCTGAGCTTCCGTCTGATCTCTGCTAACAGATAGGAGAAATGGCGTAGCTCTCAAGTGATGAAATATTTGAGTTATGTGCTGTAGATCTTGCTAAATTGGGCCAAGGAATCTAGTTTAAAATGGGCAAAATGGCCCCCAAAAAGTTTTGTGTCAAAGTACGGGGTTGGCGTTTTAAAGGAAAATCAAAATCATCCAAACATAAGAACCAAACGCAAATTAAAAATAACTTAAAGTAAGTATCAAGGTTAATATTCAAATATACCTTTTTAAAATTTTGAAATGTATATGTGTAGTTCTGTAACTCCCTCACTCAAGATTGTGTTGTTCTTTATGGAGTACTTGTGCTTACTGATTACCATGTAAAACAAATACTGGCAAATAACCATATTGTGCATATGGCTAGGAGTTCCTGTGAAGAGCATGAATATTTACTCTTCTGAAGGGAGTCTCCCCAGCCTTTCTCTGGTCTGTTGTATAGGCCTTGTCCTTGCTTGCTCTTTGTTTTGGCCCTGTGTCCTTGAGATGGGGTGCAGCTTGTCCCTGTGGCTTTAGCAAAGGCTGCCATCTTTGGCAGCCTTCCCTATGTCAGCTCACAATCTGAAGGCAGATTTACCAAAGTGGATGGACCCCTAAGATCAAGACTAGCAGGTGCTACAGAGAGCTGAGTTACTCAGCAGACAGAGTAAGAAGGAAATAACCAAGTCAGATGCCAAGCAGAAATGCCCTGTGTTCTTCCCAGTGGCCTGGGTCTGCTGAGGTGCAAAGCTGCTTTTGCACTTTGTGGGGAGTCTTTCACACATTCTTGCCCATTCACACCTGTAGGGAGCTCTTACTTATGCCACTGATAGGCCTTGAGAAACAAGGAGGACTTCTCTGTTCCCACTACAAGGCAGTTGATCATGGTCACCTGCCGGGTGCTCACCTGGAGAGGCAATGACGTCAGGTCTGGCTCATGGCTTTGCTCTCTTCCTTTCCTTGGTCAGTAGCTCCAAGCCCACTCAACCTCCACCCCAAAGCGAGGTGGAGTTCCTCGCTTTCCCTGGGGTTCCTCCACTTCCCGGCGCAGTCTCCTAAAAGGAGATTTTAAATATATTCACCCCTCTGTGTCTCTGAGTTCTACATCTGGATTCTGAACATAAAGATACCAAAATTATTCAGAAATAAAACCAAGAGTATATAAGCTATTTTGATGTCATTGTTTGCTGAACAAAACAGTATAACAACTAATCCCATGGCACATATATTGCCTTGGGTACTATAAATGATGTAGAGATGATTTACAGGGTAAGAGAGGATGTGCATAGATTACATGGGAGTACTCCACCCACTATTCAAGCTTGGCCTTGAGCTGAAGATAAGAGCGCCTTGGGGGTCAGAGGATGTCGAGGAGTCAGGTTCCCATGGATACCGAGGAACACATTTGTGCATTGACTGTCCGTTGATTCATCATTCTCTTTATGAAACCTACGAAGTTGATACCAGAAAGAATATTTTAGATATGGCTATTTTTCTTTTGATTGAGAGATACTTACCCAGTGAAATAGCACTTGTGAGTGACTTTTGGAAACCCAAAACCTTCCTAAAAAGTACAAATGCT